CAGAAAGTGTATGTATGTTTGGGGAAAAAAACATAGTATATATAGGATTTAGTACTATCCGTGGTTTCAGGCATCCACTGGGGGTCTTGGAAGGCATCCCCTTCAGATAAGGGGGAAGTCTTGTATGTTGAGGTAGTTTCCTTCTATTCTGAATTTGTTGAGTGTTTTTATCATAACGTTGTGTTGAATTTTGTCAGAAGCTTTTTCTGCACCAAATGAGATGATCATGGGGTTTTTGTCCTTCATTCTGTTAATGTGCTATGTTACATTGATTTTTGTATGTTGGATCATCCTTGCATTTCAGGAATAAACCCCACTTGGTCATGGTGTATAATCCTTTTAATGTGCCATTGAATTTGGGCTGCTAGTAGTTTGCTGAGGGTTTTGGCATCAGCGTTCTTCGGGGATATTGGTCTATGGTTTTCTTTTGTTGCAGTGTCTTTGTCTGGCTTTGGTATAAGGGTAATGCTGGTCTCCTGAAATGAGTTTGGGAGTGTTCCCTCCTCTTCAACTTTTTTGGAAGAATTTGAGGAGAATTGGTGTTAATTCTTCTTTAAATATTTGGTAAAATTTTCCAGTGAAGCCATCTGGTTGTAGGCTTTCCTCTGTTGGGAGGTTTTTGGTTACTCATTCAATCTCCTTACTAGTTACAAGTCTGTTCAGATTTTCTCTCTTTTAAGTTTTTAATTTTTTAATTGAGGTGTAATTGACATATAACATTAGTTTCAGGTGTACAACGTAATGATTCAATATTTGTATGTATTTAGAAATGATCACCACAATAAGTCTAGTTAACATCCATCACCATACATAGCTACAATTATTTTTCTTGTGATGAAGACTTTTAAGATTTACTGTCTTAGCAACTTTCAAATATGAAATACAGTGTTATTAACTATAGACATCGTGCTGTACATTACATCCTTAGATTTTTCTATTTCTTCATATTCCAGTCTTGGTAGGTGTGTATTTCTAGGAATTACTCATTTCTTCTAGGTTATCCAATTTGTTGGTGTACAGTTGTTCACAATATAATCTTGTAATCTTTTTTATGTCTGCAAAATCAGTTGTAATGTCTCCTCTTTCTTTTCTGATTTTTGTTATTTGAGNTCCCCCTTCTCTCTCTCCCTCTCTCCCCCTCTCCCTCTCTATCCTCCTCTCTCTCTCTCTCTCTCTCCTCTCTCTCCCTCCCTGGAAGAAGGGAATGAGGCAGGGCTGACGTGAAGGGATGCAAAACAGCTCCTCCTAAGCCAGCTCGCAGAGGAAGAGAGACCGAAAAGCAGCCCTTTTATCTCTCTTTTGTTTTCTCACTTCCTTCCACCCCCCCACACACACACCCCCCTCCTGTCAGCCCAAGTTTTCTTTTCTCTTTCCACCACAGAGAGGATTTTTTTTTTCTTTCTCTCTTTCTCTGCCTTTCGGTTCAACTCTCCCACTCAAATGGAACGCCTGGAGGGGTTTTGCTCTCCTCTTTTTCTTCCCTCTTTTCTTCCTCCTTCCTCCTTTCTTATTTCTCTAAAAGGGTTTTGTTTGCTGTGGGAGTTTCGTTTGAAAATCAAGTCACGCCTTTTTTTCCTCCTTTTCTTCCTCTCTCTGTTTTTCTCCTCAGAAAAGGGGAACAAAGATGAACTGAAGCGGAGGAGAGGGAGAGCGGCAGGGCCTCTCATGGAAATGGGGGGGCCCGGCCCGGCACAAAGGGGGCCCGGGGACTCCGCGCCCCCCCCTCCCCCCGGCCCCTAGGGAAGCCTGGGGCGTCCTCGGGAAGGGGACTCCGCGGGGTAGGGGGCGCGGCCGCCGGGTGCCGCCCAGTCGCCCCTCCCGGGCCTGGGGTGGAAGTCTAGGTGTGTTCTTGACTCCTGTATTTTTAAAGTAGGCAGATGGGCTCGGAACGGGCGTCCCCGCACCGCACTGAACTGTAAAAAGAGCCTTTAAACAGCTGTGTGCAGAGCCCTGGACAGCCAGGCTCGAGGGAGCGGCGCGGGATTCGAGCGCGCGCCGGGGCCCAGCGGGGAAGGGGCTGCGGGAGCCGGGGTCGCGCCCCCGCGGGCCCTCCAATCCCAGGGCCTGGGCCTCGGCCCCAGACGCACTGCTGGGGGCGCCGAGGCGTGGCCGTGCGCCGCGCGGGGGTCTAGCCCTTGCGCCTCCCTGCGGGGGCTTGGCACAGCCTGGCCTCCCCCCCCTACCAGCTCCCGGGCAGGCCGGACCCTCGGCCTCCAACCTTCAGGACCCCCCGCCACTCGGAGGGAGCCGCTTTCTCGACTCCGAAGCTGGGCGGGGCCGGAGTCCTCGGACAGAGCCGGGCCGAGCCGCCACGAAGGGTCAATTATTCATGGGGCGCCCGGGCGTGCTCCCAAGACCTGCTCTGCCCTCAGCGTCTCCGGAGAAGTGGGGGAGAAGACAGGGGAAAAGTTCCCAGAGCAAAGTTGGCCACATTTCTCTCATTTTCCCAAGTAAGTATTGAGCACCTGCTGGATGCCTGGCACTTGGACTGGGGCTGCTGCCAGGGGCTGGGGAGAAACGTGAGGTCTTCGTGGGCCCTCAGAGTTTCCGCAGGAAACAATGCCTGAGGAGGCTGCCGCTCAGGACCAGGTCATGGAGAGGAAGGGCAGCCTGGATCCTCTCTCGCCTCCCGCCTCTCTTCCTTCCCCTTCTCTTCCTTCCTCCCGGCTGCATCTCCTTGGCTCCACCCCTTCTCATCAATTCCTCCCACACTTCCCTGCTCTCCCTGGCTTTTCACTGGAGGGTCCCTTCTCCCAGCGAGGAGCAGATGCTGAGCCCCATTGTCTCTCCCCCAGTGACTGCAGCCTCCCGGGACGGACCTGCCACTCTTCACCCCTCCCCCCCAGCCGGGAGGCCTGGGCCTTTAGAGACCGGGGGGGCCCCAAGGCCACTGCCCCTCACCCCACCCTAAAGCAGCGCCTGGTGTGAGCAATGACTCCAGTCACTCAGAACATGATTTGTGTCTGACTGGGAGTGAGAAAACAGTAGCCTGAGACTTCGCTTCACAGCGAGGACACCATGGTTCTCCTATCAGCACACTGAGCCCTGGAAGAAACCCCCCAAAGTGAGCGTTTACCCACGGCGCCCTCTTCACAGGATATGCGGAAGCAACATTTCTGTCGTTGTATATCCTCCTGCTTAGTGCACCTGAGCTGTAGCCTTCAAACAAGGCCAAACGCAGCTCTGGTAGTCAAGCATTCATTTAACAAATGCTTCCTGAGCACCTATTCTGTGCCTGCTGCTGTGCTGGGTGCTGAGGACCAGAAGCACACACTTAGGCTTTGCAGACCAGCAGGGGAAGCAGCAGAGAAGACAGGCGACCACAGTGCTACGCGATGCATGCAAAGGTGAACCTAGGAAGCACCCGAGAGGACTAGGGTGGTCAGGGATGGCTTCCTGGAGGAGGCTACATCTAGATGAGTAGGCAAGTGCATGGCAAGGCACAGCCTGTTCAAAGCCCCCAGGGCAAGAGAGCACACATTCTTACAGATTCTTGGAACTGCCACAAGTATTTGCTGCAGTGTGGAGTACAAGTGGGGGAGTGGGGGGTGAGGACACACGTGGGGGAGGAGAGAGCGAGGAGTGTGACTGGGGGTAAGTGGAGGAGGAGGGCGGGTATCAGGGAGATGTTCAAATTTTAGCCTCTCCCACTTGCTAACTTCATGAACTTGGGTGAATAACAGCCTCAGTGAAAAACTTAAATTCAGTTTCCTCACTTGTGAAATGGGGGTAAGAAGATCTTGGGTTGCAGAAACAATGTCTCCTGTTTAAGGGCCCAGGTTTGTCTGCTGATCATCCCTGGGCAGGTTGACCTCTAAGTCAAAGTTTTCTCACCTGTAAAATGGAGGTGACAACATCTGACATCCAGTTATTGTGAGGCTTAGATTAGCCCATGCATAGCTCCGCATCAGGTACGTAAGTGCCAATGCATGGTAGCTTTCATTCGTCATTTTTATAAATCAGGGAGTGACACAGAGATGCCCTTACAACCTAGAAATGAGATTATGTTCTGGGCTGAAACCAGAATGAGTCACCATGCTCGAAACGTGCTGAGCTGGTTGTGGAGGCAGCATTCACTGAAAGATGCCCTTTTTCCCCACAGGTGGCCTGGATTGGGAGCACCTATGCCTGATCAAGGTGGCCAGGGTGTAGCCTCTCAGGAACATGACTGGAATGTGAAGGCTGTGGTTATGAAGGCCTGGCCTCATCAGTGCAGCTGTAGCCTGCCTGAAGAACAAACAGGAATCAGAAGAGCCCTGTAAAATCCAGAAGGGCCCATAGGAGCAGGTACCTGGCTGTGTTTGCGCAGTGGAGAGAAGTAGGCACAGAAGTTCACACTGAGGGGGACGGGGGAAGAAGGAGATTATTGACTCCTCCAGAGCCCAAATTAAATCCCTTAAAACCTCTTAGTCCTTTGTTTGGGTTCCTCATTCTCTAAGCAACTTGCAGATGAACTTGGCACCAGCAAAATGCCCCCTGGATCCAGGCAGACACCAGCCTTCCAGTGCTGCATTGTAAACATTTTACACGTCTATTATTTCTTTATGACACAAGTTCATGATGAAAGAATTTGAAAATCAGCTAAGCAAAACTGAAAAGGAACCCCCTGTAGAGACATTATATTTTGGTGTGTATCCTTGGACCTTTTATGTCCACAGATCTGCATGTAAATGCACATAATAATAAAACTGTACAAAGTAAATATTGTTAAACAAATGAATGACTATGCATGTAAATATGTTATTTTTACAAAACTAACAAAAATAGCGTTACACTATACCTACTCACCCAGTAAAATGTCACAAATATCTTTCCCTCTCTATAACCACCCACAGTATCATTTTTAAAGAATGATATTATTTCATGGCATGCACGTACTACTTAATTCGTTTAAACGAATTGCTGGACTTGTGGGACGTTTCCAGTTTTTCACTTTTATGGACCCACAATGATAAACATACACCTTTGTGCCAGGTAGATACCATATTCTGATCATCATTTTACAGATGAGGAGACTGAGGCACAGAAAAGTTAAAAAGGTTCCCAAGGTCACAGCTAGGGCATGACTGAGCCAAAATTTGCAGGCAGTTTCCAGTTGGGACTTCCTTTTAGCATCTGTTTTCTCCTTTTCTTTAGAATGACTGTCCCCTCTGCCGCCCCATTATCTTTTTCTCTTACAGATTGTCTCCTGAGGAGACCCTGTCTGGACAGGTGACTCACTGCCTTCTCTGACACCCTTTTACCTTTCTGAATGTCCACCTCCTGGGGTTGTTGGGAGGAATGAAACCAGGTAATATACTAATGCATAATAGTGTATTTCAAAAATTGTGAAGCCTGTGTGAATGGTAGGCCTGAACTCACAGTCAGACCCCA